TCTCCGATGATGAAGCAAATACTGTGTCTTTGCTCTATAGTATCAAACGCTCAATGTCAATGTTAAAGTCATTGTTTAATTGCATTTACAACTGATTTAATTAAATATCATTTTTGAGAAATGTTTGAGTGTAATTAATGTTCACAATTCTTCATTTTACGAAATGTTCGTTTCAAGCAGATAACTCATTGAAATACTGAAATTATTCTTTCATTTGCTTATCATCTCTAGCAGACTGCGCCCAACCCCAAAAGGGGCTGGGTTTATTTTGCGTAAGCTAAAAATTTCCTTCTCTGGTCTTCTTTCTCTTCTTTCTCTTCTTTCTCTTTTTCCTCTTTTTCCTCTTCTCTCTTTTACTTCCCCTTCTTTTCCTCTCCTCTCTGCCATCATCATTATCTTCATTCCCTTCTCCTTCTGCTCACTCTGTTTATCACGTAGAGCTTTGATCATACAACAACATTGTATTTCAGCATAAATAAGATACTTTCGCTTTGAGTTTAATTTTTCATTTCACTTTATCGTTTCAAATAGGTAACAATCAAGTTGAACAATTAAACTTGACTACTTTTGCTTTTCCAATTTTTGTTCACCTCTCAATCTTTCTATTCTTACGATTACCTACGCTTTAACAACACAACAAACATCAATAAGTAATATCTTCAATAATATTACACTCAACAATTGAACGTTAAAACCGCTAAGTTAAACAGCAAACCTAATTTCATTTTTATTTTCCTGGTTCTAAACCTAAACCTTTATCTACTGTTAATTAATCTTTCATATTGGCTTGCTTTTGTCAACGGTTCTATATAATCAATAAGTGACTGTTTATTATAACAATCAACCATGGAAGACGATATCTTCAAAATTATTCAGGATGCAAGTGCACCAAGACCCATTGAAAGACGAACCTCTTTAACCACAAAATTAATTGGTAAGTAACTGTTTTGTGTTCACATTTTTGAGTATCAAAATGGAGGAAATAAAATGCTCTTTGTTTTGTTTGAATATATGGTGAGATATCATTTTTATCCTTCTATATATATGGCCATGCGGTGTCAAGGACATGAAGAAAAAGATGAAAATGACGATAAGCTTAGTACCATCTTCACTATTGCATTGTGATTTCCTTTTGTTTGCAAAATTTTTGTCACTTAATTTGAGGCTTGTTTTTGCAATAATTATCGATAGGCATAGTTTATTGTTACTCAGGCTTGACTGACAAAAATTTATATGCATTATTAACCCTGATTATTGCTAGTATCTTAATGTTTCTAGGATAGTCAATAATTAAGCTTGTAACTGTTATATAATCATTTACTGTTGTTTTTTATGCTTATATTTATTACAAGGTATCATTAGAGTTTTATTGTGCATGATTATTTTTTGCTGTCCATTCTCATTTAATGATCTCACCTTCATATGTTACTCAATTTTATCGCTATCTTTATTACCCTGAATGCTGTTGCTAACTCTTTATTTTCTTTTATTTCCTCTTTCAGGTAATGCTAAAGATTGGTTCGGTGGATTTAACCGAAGACATTCTGAATCTCAAAGCGAAGATGGTTATGCTCGAAGTCTCTCATCATCATCCGGTGATAATTTCGATGGCTTGAGTGATCTGATATTTCGCAAAAGAAGCCAATCAATCACCGGAGAGAATCCAATGAAGGAAGGAGTCAAAGACTCGATGGTGCTCGGGCCAATAATATAGTAAGCGAAATGTGATCGCTACTTGTAAAACCACCGAAGTCAACCCTACCTCACCGAATCTGGCCTTAACATAAAAAAAAAGAGCAAACCAGCCTCAGCTTTGTCTCTCTTCCTAACACTCATCACAACATCTCATAACATTAAATCTCATAGTACATTTACATCGTGAAAAAAGCCATTCTCATCATGATACGTCTCTTGTCAAGAGAAACACCGACACATTTACGCTCGTCTCAGAACCGCTCATTCTATGTATACTTTGTACATTATTCCTACTTTGTTTTCCGTATTCATTTTCCTACTTCGTTTTCCTCTCTTTTGTTTTCCAGGTCAAATTATGTTGCAAATTATGCCTCTTTATTTTCTTCTATCAACTGTTCTATTGTCATCATGACAAACTCTTTATCCAACACTTTGTTGCCTCAATTTCAGCGAAAACCAAGTCAGCTAAATGAATCTTTCTGAATACACCAAAATTCTCTATCTATTTGTAAAATATTAATAACGTTAATAATTATCATCCCCTGAGAAACCCTACGACTTGATAAGTCTTCCCCTTTCTCGCTACCCTCTCTTTCTCCTCTCTTACCCTGAAATCTTACACGAAAATTACTAAAAATTGAAAAAAGATATACATCCAAAATTTGATAAGCTCATGTCTGGATTATCATATATTGTAATTAATGTTTTCAGAATATTGATTATTATTGCAAACAAACGGCAACAAAACAAAGATTTGCCATTTTTGAAAATGTTTGACATTTTATCACATGAAATAAAAATATAGTGTAATAAATTAACACTGTTTAACATTACAGAATAAAAGCGTTTTCTTAAAAATTCAATTTATAATTTCTTGACTCTGGTTGGCTTATTCATGCTCTGTAAATGAAGCCGCAGCTAATTCTAGTCAATCTTGCTAACAGTTTTGTAAGATGAGCTTAATGTCTAGGGTTAGTCAAAGTTTATTTCAATACTTTGATCACAAGATAAACCAAAAGTGTCACCGGTTAGACATTTGTTGATGTTTTCCATGATAAATTTTGCCAACTCACCAGCCAATGATCAAGGCCAGAACAGTAACCAATCACTTTAACCACCAAAATTACAGATAAAAGTTAAAATAGAAACTTGGTTCTATTTTAACTTGGCTTATTTCAAGTAATCTTGGCAAAAAAATGCTTGAAAGAGTTAAACAAGTGTATATTTTTGTGCTTGTAATTTTTTTCTTTACTCATCAACCTCTCATTTCCTCAAACTGAAAATAGGAAAGTTGATTGTACAATGGCACAATCAACTTGATGATGAAAAGATTTATAATCAACTTGAAATCTTCCGGAGATTGAAATCAATTTCTCGTAGCCTCAAAAACCATTGAGATAATGTGTCACTATTTGTAATTATATTGCAGTATCAATAATTTTCCGTTGAATTTTCAGTCCACCATAAATTGTAGCTCAATTTTCGTTAATAATGAATTTCTCTGTAGGAAGGTGGAAGTCGAATCTTTTTGATTACTCTTTAAACACAAAAATAGAGTTTAACTCGGTAGTTATCAGACTTGATCGGCCTTAATCAATGGGGAAAGCTGTTAGTGATAAGTGTATATTTTTGGCTTATCTCCAAATTTAATGTTACTCCGTTAATTGGCTTCACTGATTAAAAACAAATTGTAAATTCTGGGATTGATATTGAAGAGGCGTCGAGAGTACATTCATATAACTATTGAAGTTTCGCTCAGTTAACACGTGAAGATAAACCAAGGTAATATCTATCTATCAACAGAATCAATTAGATAATTGTATAATTGAAGGAATCCCGGCAATTGAAGATATACAGGGCTATTCAGCTACTTAGTATGATGTTGAACGCCAATAACTTTGCAACCAAACATGCTATTGGCTTGAGAATCGAATATAGTGAGTTTGGGCGACATTCATTTTTTATGTTTCAAGGACAAGGTCATGCAAGGTCATTTTTCGGAAATCGCTGCTATTCATGTTAGAGGTCAATTTGAGGTCCTGACATGATTTTTGAAGACTAAAAATCTTTTTATTCGAGTTCTGACACTCTGTAATGAACATTGCTTGAGTTATTGACATTTAAGTTTCCGAACCTCGTTATCAGAATTTTTATTTTTTATGCAAATTCGCACTTTTTTGTGCTCAGTGGGACCCGATCGCACCTTTTTGGCAACAGGGTTAAATTACATGCTGTAAAAATTGATTTAATCATGGAAGATCAAGTTTTCAACCCAATCTATGTAAAGCGCTCCTAGAGCTGTTTCACATCAGATGAATCAGGTAAAAGTAGTGATGTTGAGCTTTTGTGAATGTCGCGTCTTGCTTTTGTCACCACAAACTGATTTTTCTTCGAATTCTGAGCCATTGTTAGATAATCA